CCCCAAAACCCCAAAACCCCAAAACCCCAAAACCCCAAAACCCCATGAATCTAGAAGTATATATTAAAAGTAAGTCTGTAATTTGCAAATTATTGATTAAATTTACATATGGCAGAATTAGGAATAAGTATGTTTCTTGAACTTAATTACATTGATATAGATTCTAATCCCGAGAGTAATATGAAGAAGTAATTAAGTCTAATTTAGGGACTTCTATTAATTGAAACTCAATACCTGAATAGCAAAATCACTTAAAATGTAAAATACTATATCTTTAAGCTATATCACATATCAGAACTTTTAAAACAGAGTAAAGGAAATATTGACTAAAGCATACAATCATAAATTTAAGCTGGTATTCTTCATCCTTCTTCTATATCTAATCAAGAAGGGCTATACTTTCTATAAATCAGTCAGGCCCTATCTTTCATTGATAAATGAGTTCAGAGGAGGCAATCAAAGCAAAAGCAACAATCAAGTAGGAGAATAGCAGTAAAAGTCTAAAACCTAATCTTAGCTTCAACTAGCAATGTTAGAGATGAATGTGCCTGATTTCGCTTAATTGATGAAACTATTCTAAAGCACGATTAAAAACATTGATAGAAATCTTCTGGCCTAACCAAGATATATTGAGGAGAACCTAATTTCACCCATTTATGAATTAGAGAAAATAAAGCTTGCGACATAGGAATAAGGGCAGACGTCACAGTAATAAAAGGAGAGATTCGCATTACTTAAAAATACATTGTTCAAAAGTTTGTTTTGCCAGCTTTATGTGACAAGAATTGTCCATTTGATTTCTTATTTCCAAATTACTATGACTGGGAGATTTTATAGGATAAGTGAGAAGAAAGTGAGAGATTTGGAATCAAATGCCAATGATAACGTGCCTAAAGAGTAGAAAGGATTTTTGGCTATTTTAGAGGAGGAGGAAAAAGCAATGGATTAATCGGACTCAGACTTTGATCCAATGTCTGACTAAGAACAAGATAAAGAAAAAAAGAAGTTGACTCCACAAGAATAAAAAGAAAAGGCATAGCAGAATCTAAAAGACGAATAAGAAGCATGTACTCTATTTGTGAGCAAGTTTTTCGAAGAAATATTGAAGCCATTATTTATAAATATCTTCATCCCAACCATCGGGGAAATTGTGAATTCTGAAATAGACTCGATTGATATTAGAGCTAAGATATCATCTGATTAATTCATGGACATTCTAGATACTATTCATAACAAGGCACTAGATTAAATATTTTCAATTGACCCAAAAACAGCTCCCGACAGCACAGATCTCAACAACTCGAGAGACTCTACTGACAGTCTACTAAATCCCAGAGCTACATCATCATATTGGATCATGGATCAAATACTTCAGCAATACAATATGAACATCGATAACATATCTTAATAGAATAAGAAACTTAAGAAGATAGCTGATGAATTCATGGATGTGCTAGTATCAAACTAAGAGTATTTTGAAATTACCTTAGTTGAGCTATTAGATGAGTCTTATAGACTGAATTTAAGAGAATTTTTGGAATTAGAACTTAATTAAAACCCCTCAAACATTGAATAGAATCCTAATGCTTTATTCACAAGTGCTAATGAAAGAACATATATGCTGCATATAGTTTCCTCTGTCTATCCACTTTATCAAGATAGCCTGTATTTGAATCAACTAAGGACATTCACTTTAATGGAAACATAACCGAGAATAGAATAAATCATAAAACTAATATACTTTGAAGACAAAGCCTATTTCGATATTGAAATAAAGGATCTACTTAGTACCACAGAGAAATAAAGCAAGCCATTTGATATGTCAGAACTATTTAAAGGGCTAGGTGGAGGTGAAGGAGGTGATAATGATATTCTTGCCAAAATGCTTTCATCCTTTGCAGAAGAGTGATTTTGTTTAAAATTAATCTTAGATTATCTATAATATCTGGAAAATTAATCATTTTTATTTACAGTAGCTAGACAATTCTTATTATTGTGTACAAAAGGGGTTTTGGGGTTTTGGGG